CCATTCATGTCTCCAATAAGTCTAATAAGTTGGTGTTTTACAGGCATTACAAAACTTTATCTTTTGTTTCCCTGTTGGGGACAGATGCAACTTTAGTGCCTGAAAGATTTTGTTCCTGACACAAAAATAAATGTTTTAAATAAAAAAATTTTTTAAATTAAGTAGAAATTCTAAAATTAAAAATTAAAACTTATATATGGAGAGTGAGAAATTATTTTTTTTTAATGTGGAAGAATAAACATTCAATAAACTCCAGTTTTTAAAAAAAATAATTTTTTTGCAATTCAGGTTTTACAAGTCACAGAGTAAAATAGGTCACACATTTCATCGTGTGATGTCAGAGTTCAACTTACACGCAGATATATTTGTTCGTTTGTTGTTATGAATGTAACATATAATTCGTGAAGCAGCTTATGTTCATCCATGAATTACTTCTACTGTCAATCGTATTAATATTGATAATATTTAAAAGGTCACACTCTTGTAAATATGTAGATAAAATGTACAAAGATGCGACTTGTCCACTAGTTTACTGTATATAGGAGGGGAAAGGGAGCCATGAATTAATCATAAACGTAGCACATTAAATGTCAGCATCTCCACTGTCTGAGTAGAGGCTAAGTAAACCTACGTGCCTCATAAAGAAGTCAACCATAAAAAGCCATAAATAACAGTGTGTCCTTTTGGTTGGCAAATATAATTAGCTGGTGTTCATTTAAAAGGCCATTCAATGAGGTGGTGTGAATATCACTGCTGCAACTTTTGTTGTGACCCTTAAATGCTGATTCAGGTAAACATTATTTTATTTCAAGGATGGTTTAGGTTTGCTTACGATAATATTGTCAATGTACATGCAGAGGTAAACTCACTTTAGCTGTAATTTTACGCAGCAAAACAGTTTCCCCACTCCTGTTTGATGTGCTATTGGTCTGTCACTACCCTAAAAACAGTTCAGAGGGCTAGACGCTCCTACAGGGTCTAGACTTCAGGAGCAGGCCGCGCCTTTTCCAGCACATCCCCTGCTCCTCCATTAAACATGTAGGTACATTTACATTTTCTCCGATCAGCCCTCCGGCCATAACAAGGTAAAGGTGCTTCAGTCTTTACTCATTGATCCAGTGGTGAAAAACTGAAGAAAACTGACCTTCACATGCACAGTTTTTATGAGACAATCCTTATTCCCTCCATTTTTGAGTGGTCATAATGTTTTCTGCTCACTGGTGTACTATACAGCAATCCTCACAGCAGCCGGCCAGCCTCTACCTCAGCTGACAGTATACTGTCAGGGGAATCTTGCTGTTCAACCATGTAGACAGATGTTGGATGTACAAGATGTAACAATCCCTCTACTGTAATATTTCTCCTAAACCTACTTGTTCTCCTCAGGGGAGACATTCAGTCCCTTCAGAGCAAAGCAGCCTAGCACTGTAAAGTAACAAAATGTCTTCCATTGTTCTTGTTCTTTCCTTAGCTGTTCACCTGAGATTTGCAAAACAAAAAAGGAGGAGATGTGAGGTTATCAAGATGCACAAAGAGGGCAGGGTGGCTTGTGAATGTGCCATATTGTATCCTGACCTCATGCTAGTATTTGGTGGGCCCGTTTGACCACTCTAGCCTATCTTGTGCTCCCACTTATTGTGATTGTATGGAGTTATTGAGGAGTTGGACCTATTAGGCGAGGAGCTGCCATAGCTGTCTGCCTACCAATTACTAGCCAGCAGCTATGTACAGCCTGCCCCGAGGTAAAGAGGGGTAGGGGATGTTGTAAGAGGTTGTGGGGGAAGGATATAAGTGGGGTTGGGGATGCTGGGTAGGGGTTCTCAGGAGACCTGCCACAGCAGCACGTCGTTAATCAATCCGATTTAGACTGGACAGGGACACACTTAGACGCTGCCCCCGCCAACACTGCCATGGCAGGGGAGAGAAAGCGTGTGCGTGACCTGCATCTTATTCCAGTATGCGGACACAAAAAGATGGATAGATGGGTCCAGAATGAAGAGAAAGGAATGGGGTGGCAAATGAGAGAGGGATGATGGAAGGGGCGTGAGGTGTGGAGGGAGAGACAACAATTAATGGAGTGATGTGAGTTGAATTAAAACAAAGGAAAGATATTGATTCATTTCTGTCCTAAGGAGGGGAGTAAAAATGTTCACCTTCTTTATGTGAAAGAAAACCCCACAGAGAGAAATGTATTTGATAAAATTGATGAAAGGGGCAAAATAAAAATGTTGGATGGAGGAGGAGAAAGGGGGAAGTTTAGTCTGATTTGATTTGTCTTTGTGATCACAAGAGATCAGTGAAGTTTGATGACTGGCGGAGATGATGGACCATATCCTTAGTCAGACTCACAGGAGGAGACAAGGATAGAGTTAGGGCGTCCTATTTGCATTCATTAATATGTATGCACATGTGCACTTTATTTTCCACTATTAAATGGATTGCCTGCTTGAATAGTTTGTTACCCAGCCAGTGATAGTGCAATTTATTATAAGGAGATTTGCTTACCGAGTGCGAAAACAACTCAGATTTTACCGAGAGCGGATGAAATAACAGGCACATTTAACAACATCATAAATAAAGACGCTCCTTTGTCACCAGAAAAGCTGCTCAACTAAATCCTGGGATACTGGATTGGTCTTCGAGAATTAGGTACACAACATTAAGTCTGGTAATTGTGCTCCCTTCTGCAACATGTATGGGATCATTGCCATCGTGTAATATAAGGGCGGTGCTAAGTGGTTGCATATTAGTATGCATGTAAATATGTATAGTTAGATGTAATGACTTCTTCCTAAATGACTGGTCATATCATTACAGACAGAGCATCATGTGGATTGCATTTCCTTCTCCAATCACAAAGCTGTCCAGATGTTGATAGAAGAGTAAATAATGCCTCATCTGAGCAGATTTACTTTTTTAAATTGTGCAAGGCTCCATGGTTTGCAGCCTTCACACCGGATAATGTGTTAGCTCTGTATACCAGCAGTTAGTGGGTGGCAGAGTTTTGTCTTACAGGAGTGTTGATAAGATTGTTTAGTGATTCTGAGGCTGCAGTGTGCTGACGTTCAAATGTCCTTGGCTATGCCTTTTATTCATATCTGACGCCAAACAGGGATGACATTCTTCTTTTGAATGTTTTCATCAAAACATCGAACATTTTCATCATCTCGCTTGTCTTGAAACTATGGTTTTATCGCGTTTCCTTGAGTTAGTGTCTTAAAGCCGAGTGATAATTACTTTCAGTGCATTCAATTCAATATATTTTATTTTTATAGTGCCAAATCAAGTAAGGTAAACACCCTAAAATAATAGAGTGAAAACCCAAACAATGAAGCCACCCCCTATGAGCAAGCACTTGGTGACAGTGGGAAGGAAAAACTCCCAACAGGAAGAAACCTTCAGCAGAACCGGGCTCAGAGACAAGAAGCTATCTATTGCATTAGGGCGAAGGTAAAGATAACGGGTGAGAGAGATGGGACAAAAATTTAAAGTTACAGCTCCTGTCATGCACCTTTAAGCCTCGTGCAATACATATTTTGGTAAACTCTCAACACTGTCATCACTGATGACTCTGGGTTATTTATTTTGTTTGCTTGTTTTTTTAGCAGTACCAAGCAGCATTAGGGATTGATGAGTTGAGCTTTTAGCAAATAATAGTTTTAGTGGGTAGTGGAGATAGCTACTGGATGTGTAAATAGACAAGTTCACCACGTCCACTTGAAAGGTCACAATAAGCCAATGTGGTATTCACAGTTTGTCTACGACCCCTTTCTTGTGATGAGAGCAGCACTGTCCTCTGACACAAACTGTCAATGCATGACAAGCAAAGACAAAAAAAAGGTAAATAAAACTGAAAGCAGTTTTCAGTTAATGACGCTGACATGGATGAGCAATAGCAAACACATATAGCAGTGATCAGAATGTGTGAACCTTCATTGTGTTTTCTGTGTTTGTGTGAAAAAATGAACTGATGTGTTCCTTGACACCTTTCTGCTAATCTCCCATCAAACTGTCCTCAGCAACAGGTGGATCAGGTGTGACAGCAACAATCCTCTGGAAAAAAAATAAAAAATTGATGGTGACTAAAAAAGCTGGTGGTCTGAGACGGAAGTGTGAGGCCAAAGATCACTGCACATCTCATTTATCTACCCAGTGGACAGGAAGGCATCAGCACTGATTACATTACACCACGATCACAGAGTGAAACAGGAAATAAAACAGCAGTAGTGAACAAACTGGTTGTAGGTGAGATAATGTGGTGAAAAAGATAAAAGTGTTAAAGGGAAAATGTAAAAAAAAATAGAGGAATTTCAGTTATTATCAACAACGAATTTAAATATAAATAAAAGTAAATGCGTTCTTAACATGTTGGATTAGATAACTGGACTGTATAACACATTTTTGACTAGTGTGAAGTCCATAGTTCTGTCATGCTGACTAGTTAATTAACATGTAGATGGCAGTGGTGAACATGTCTCCTCTGCAGGCGATAATTAGTGTTTGAAGGCTATAAGAGGAGACCTCCAATTAAAAAGAGAGATTTGTAGAAACTTGTAGGTGAGACTGGATACTGAAGATGAAATATTAAAAAATAGCCATTGAAAATCACATTTGGTGTCTATAAGTAGGTTTATGATTATATACATAAAAGCTGTTAGAAAAACAGAAAATATTTTTAACAGTAATTTTTTTATTTACACAAATGTTCAGGTAATGGATGTGCAGCATAGTTACATTTTAGCTAATACTGATCTTTAATTTCTCTGAAAAAAGCAGGTTGTGTCAGCATGACAGAAGAGTTGCTGTTTCCTGCCTTGTTGAGAGTGCGTGCAGACCATTGTCGCCCACGAAAACATGATTCAGCCTCACCGCAGACAACAATATGTCTGCAAAACACACTCATGACATCAAACGTCTGCTTTCCACGTGGCATTTCCTTCTTTAATGGTCTTTTTTCAATCTTGGCCGCCTATCAATTCCTTACTTGTGCTTTTTCGCAGGTGAGGGCCAGTGCAATCGCTCAAGACGCAGATCAGAACTACGACTATGCCTCCAACAGTGTTATCCTGCACCTGGACGTGGGGGATGAAGTGTGCGTGCAGCTGGATGGGGGCAAAGTTCACGGGGGAAACACCAACAAATACAGCACTTTCTCCGGCTTCCTCATCTACCCTGACTGACAATGTCCTCACATTCCTATACTCCCCCTCTGTAATCAAGCAAAAAGTTTCATCTCCTTTCTTCATCTAACACTGCCATAATGTAATTTGTCATTTAACTGCCCTTCAGTAAATGAAACATTGTAATAATATGACCACAGCTAATAGATAGAGCTTGAAGAGAATTTGTGTAAAAATGAGTATAATATTGTACATATTACCAGATAACATTTACTCAATATAATACACTTGTGTGATCACTATTATGTGCCATGTACAGTATGTGTAAGCATGGCTAAAACACAATTTAAATACATCTTTTTCATATGCACACGTTTGCCTGTACACACGCGAGTGTCCACGCGTTAAGTGAAATTTACTTGTCGTTCTGAGAGAGGATGATCGTCCCGGCCACCGCTCTGAAATCAACTGGAATGATATCTGAATGTAGATTGTCAACCGAAGTGTGCGGCCTTCTGCCTTTACCGTGAGATGGATTTTCAATACGGCCGTAGACGTCAAACAAGAAAAGTCATGAATATATTGATCAGAGCTTATATTAGAGCCAACTTTATGGTCATAAACCGGTGTGTTGTATGTCTGTGTTGATGCCGCATACACGCCTGTGCTTGCCCTTTATTTTGTGCTGAGGTGTAAAAGCATCATGTTACTAATGGTATGACTTGCACAGTCTCTGACTCCTGCAATAGGGAGGAGGAGGAGGGCTTTTGAGATGTTGATAACAGACCTTTAACAAACCCAATATGTCAATACTGAGATTTAGCTTCGAGATTTATCCTGACGCCACCTCATCATATCCTGCTAATGAGCTGAGGCTTCTTCTACAGCCTCACCTGTTGGGTGACACACAAATCTTTCCTCTTTAAATAGTGATAATTTGGGAAAGATTTTTCCATATGAAGATCATGGGATGCAGTCGAATAGCTGAAGTAGTTAGTTTGACATGCTATCTGCCCACCTTAAATGTTGAGATTGATGGATTGTGTTAAAAGCCGGCTGTCATAGTGAGGTTTAGAATTGATATTATTTCTTTTTAGAGAGTCTCACATGAAGGCTTCCATAATGTTCTACCCACTTCTTCAGTCATGGCCACTAAATTCGATAGATTGTGTTTTTTCTATCTGCAGAAATGTTTTTTTCGTGGCATGGCTCTGCCGAGAAATCAGTCTCTCCACCCTTCAACTCACATATGTGGAAAGCGTAAAGCAGGGAGAGCAGCAGGAAGACCCTCATACAGAACAGAGCAGGCATCAGTAACAACAGATAGGACACTGATGCATGATGGGATGAGAGGTGGGTGGCAAAGCGGCTTGCAGATGAGCAAGCTAAAGCAGCTTTTACAACACTATCAGTTGATGCTGACCGGCACCGAGATCAGCTGATGTGTCAGGACTGCAGCTGAGCTTGACTTCATGGCCTGCCTGAGCCAATGTTCTGCTGAAATTGTGCAATGGATTTAAAAAAAGAGAGAGCCTCCCTACCTCCTCACAGCAGGCCAATCACAAGAGTGAAGCGGTTGTAAATGTGTGATTGCAAGAAAAACTGTTTCCCAGTCTAGTTCCCAAAATGTGAAGCTTTTTTCTTTTTAATTTTAATGTGAATGTATCCATGTGAAAAATCTCTTGATGTTACTGCCATGTGCCATACCCATAGGTTCTCTGTGCCTTATACTATCAATTTATTTTTATTTTTTATGCATGAGATGGTTTTCCCTTGTTAAGCTAAGTGAAGAAGATGGTCCACGTCATGCAAATCGAAATCAGACACATTACTTATAAGAGGGATTGTCTTTACAATGTTAGTGCATACTCACTTAATGAAATGCACACGTTTATGTTGCAAATAGTGACTACGAATCTTTGTGTGTAACTGGATGTTACTGACCCTTGTAAATAAAAGGCCACAAAACTAAGACCAAGATGAATTCTGTATGGTGGGAATCAATAACAGAAGCATGACACGGTGTAATTGAAACTCTGCATCCACAAAAATTGTAATATTTCAACGGATCCGAATTTTCACGTTAAATTTTTTAACATTTTTTAATAATATACCTTGAACGTAAAACTCTTTTTAACACATTTGTTAGAGTTTAGTGCCGTGCAAGTAGAGGGCTTCATTTTAAAACGTGTGAAGGAGACGGTATTATTGAGGTAGCATGACCATACCCAGATATTTGGATGTGGATTATTCTTACTCTTATTAGTCTTGTGGTGAAATTGAAAAAAAAAAACCCATCTTAATGTCGTATATTGTACACAGACATCCCCCATGTGTGGCTTCATTTAACCTCTGCGCGACGATGCATCCTACTGTGTGTGTTTTCTGGCGCTGCTACCTCTGTTCCCGAGCAGTAAAGATCCATTGCTCTTACTGTTCTTTGCGAGCTGAGACCATGAAATACAATTAAAAAAAAAAAAAGGTTCAGGATGATTTTACTGTCAGGCAGAACCAGTGCTTTCTTTATTGCTTTTATTCTGTCTTCTTTCCACAGGAAAACAAAGAAGCTGTTGCAGACCTGTTATGATAAAGTGTCTTTGAAGTTTTCAGGGTGTTTTTTATATGTTAAAAAAAACATTCCTTTTTTTTTTGCAGCACTGAGGTCTAACACATTCTTCAGGTTCAGTTATTTGCTCACATAATATTGCAACAGTTGCCTTGAGATGCACAACTCTCTCAAAATCCTGAACAACAATGTGTGTGTGTGTGTGTGTCCCTGCTTGACTGCATTATATGCAGAGGCTTTCTGTCTTGCACTTTTTGTATATAAATATGAAAAAGAAGAACAGCAAATCTATCTATCTATCTATCTATCTATCTATCTATCTATCTATCTATCTATCTATCTATCTATCTATCTATCTATCTATCTATCTATCTATTGTATATTTAAAAATATACTATATATATATATATATTGTATATTTAAAAATATACAACCCTAACTCCAAAAAACTTGATATCGTTAGCTTC